TATATATATATATATAATATATATATATATATATATTTATTATATATATATATATATATATTATATATATATATATATATATATATATGCATGTATGTATGTACGTATCTATGTGTATGTATATGTATACATATAGCGTATGAGTACAAATATTTACCAAAAGATATATTGTTATTTTTATAAACATATAAATGTACTAGATGACCCCGATCACAATCGAGCGCTCGAGTATGGGTGAAAAGGTGTGTGCATTGATTGTAGCCGAGCGGTGCATATCGTACATGCCCATGCCCTTCCATGTGCCTATGACAACCACGCCCTGAGTGTACTGCAACTCATGACACGTCTCACAGTCACTAGGCCACATATTCCACATCGCCCTTGGTTTACCCTTTGTCTGGTAGGGTGACAAGATGTGGGAATTGTTTACAGCTGCATTGCGTATATCGTACATCCCCTCTCGTAGACACTTACGCCACCACTCACCCATCGCCCTTGGCCTTCCTTTGGCTTGCCTTGGGTCTGTGCTTGGCTTTTGTTTGGCCTGTCCATACTTCGGTAGGGTGATGAAGTGGAGTATGAGGACGGGATAGCTTCCATCCCCGTCGACCCCGCTACGGACACTGCGCTGAGCTCGGCTGCTATAGCGGGGATATCACTGGCAAGTATCGGGTGTCTTCTGCTGCTGATGTTTCTGCTGGGGCGGTGGTACGTGCGACGGGTGGCGGCCAAGTATCAGTAAGTCCTACTGGAGTATAGTACTATGCTTACAATGGTAGTGATACTCTTGATGTAGGTATATTGCTGGGGATGGGAACATTGCGTGCTACACTGAAAAGAAGTGGCCGTAGGTCATACTCGAGTGTAAACTGTATATGAAGGTACAAGTAATTCTAACCCGATTGCGTACATCGAAGTATCGGTAGACCCAACCCAGTTTGCAGGTGGTGCTCTGGGAATTATTGCAAACTACGCTGACTACTAAACCCCCAATGTATCTATCGCGGTTACAAGAACTGTGCTTGGTGGTATATTATATACTATTCATGTGGTACTGTCGTGTAAGGTGATCAGTGCGTGTAGCATGGCTGCCAATATTCGGCCTGGAGAAAGGATCGCCTGCACTGAGCATGGCATCTACTCACCACATGCGCAACCCCATTGGGGAACATTCTCCGTTACAGAACACCGAGTGCCGCTGCGACTGAGCGCAACATCCGACGGAAGCACAGGTGGACGGACGCAGGAACCGATGAGGCCAGACAGGTAAGCAAGGAGATTAAGTTAACTTCCACTGAAGGTCTGGCGCGTGTGTGGGCATGTACTTGCATGTGCTTGTGTATATATGCATATATTTGCATACAAAGCCGTACTTGTATATATCAATATACTGGCATACTTCGTCTGTCTCTGAATGATCAATCATCAACGTTTTGGTCACCGTTAGGTCTTGAGGCAATTGCGGGAGATGAATGTGGGGTCTGATGGTTGGATCTCTCCTCAGTCTTTCAAAACTCTCGATCTGATTGGCACTGGTAGGTCACAGGTCACTATCTAATGGAGAATAGGTCCTGCTAGTATTGATGCCCCTGCCCCATTGAAGCCCATTTTGGACATCTCCCCCATTGTCCTCTTTTGTTATTCTGATCGGTTTTTGGACTGCGGCCGTGTCACTGACTTATATCAATTTTGCAATCGCTTTGGATTGACCATTTCTCGGACTGACGTTACTATTTGATGTTACTATTTGATCGATCCGTCTGTATACTAACAGGAGCCTTCGGCAAAATATACCGCGGTGTGGTGTTCATCGAAGATACCGCAGTTGTGTGCGCTATCAAATGCCTCAAAGAGTCCGATGTGACCCAAATGGCCGCGTTTGAGCATGAGATCCAACTACAGCAGAACCTGAATCACCCTAACCTGGTCCATGTCCTCGGTGCAAGCATAGGGCTCGAGTGCGACCACGAGACGGGGGTGTGTGTGTATGCCAGTCGTGTGTGGTTGCGAACAGAGCGTAGTGCACAGAAACGCTTATTAACGTATATATTTAAGCGTGCGTACGAATGGCATATCTTAACCACCTAGCCCGTCAGCAGCCATCACACTCACTCCGAGTTTCTCATATGGGCGTATGTGTGTGTATACACTACTGACGTCTTGCATCTGAATGCGCTCGTGTTGTGGTACACAGGTTCGCCCGCTGTATCTGCTGATGGAGTATTGTCAGGAGAAAGATCTACACACCTATCTCACGAACAACGCAGCACATGTCACCATCGAGATGAAGCTGTGGTACGCGTACGAGTTAGCAAAGGCTATGGCTTATCTGGCAGGTATGTGCACAAGCGTGTGTCACACTGTGTATGTGAGTGTATATGTGACAGGTGCGGGACACACTACGTATGTATGTATTGACAGGTGCGGGACACACTACGTATGTATGTATTGACAGGTGCGGGACACACTACGTATGTAAGTATGTGTCTGGTAAGTATATGCACAAGCGTGTCACACTGTGAGTGAGTGTATGTGTCGCAGGTATCTTATTAAACGTTTGGCACCATAATGTATAGGTGCGTCGTCTCGCCGAGATTGTCCGGTCGATCAGTTTACTTACGCGCATTGTGACCGTCATTCATTTAAGTATATACGTATATACACAACTATTCCTCGTTATCGTTCGCGTTTTTTGCCTTCTTCTAATGGGCTGGGCCGGGCACCAGGCCATATCTTTCGTATTCTAATACTACACTCTACACCGCCATCCCCCTTCCCCACCCCGCGCGCGCGCGGTAAGACTCTGATTCCTACATATTGAAAAAGTAATAATAATTGTGAGTTCAGCATGTTTCTAAAATAGTACCAGGCCGTGACTCATCGAATGAGCTGAAGCCATTTGTTTTAGGGTTTTAGGATTTCAGCAGTTGTGTGTTTTTGTGCACTGGTAAATTCGGCAGAATGGGGAAGACGTACGCCCAAAACGTCTGAGTTGGCAAATCTCGACAACACCGTTCCACACCACATCACCACTCATTCATTTGCGATCATTGCATGTCCAGTCCTCTCGAAGGGGACTAGTCTATACTGTGTTCCTCCTGTTCTTATACCAAGCAGAAAATATTAAGACATACAATTGTTTGCTGGGTGTTCTTTCTATTGGTCTTGGTCAGACATGCCATGTTATACCACATAACCTCTCAACTGCGATCAACGTATTTCCTCACCTAACGGTCTGTGGCAGACGTCGGTGTCATCCATCGCGATGTGGCTGCACGGAATTGTCTTCTGAGCGCCCAAGTGGCCGAGAGCTTCGGTCACTTCAATGTGAAACTCAGTGACATGGGTATGGCCAGAGCGGCCAACAATTCAGGCCAGGTATCACTGTGTTTACGGTCTGTCTCGCCCAACATCTTGGTACACTCTACTACAATTACATACCCCTGTTTTTCAGTTGTGTATCACTGTAAACTTGGTGCACTCTCACGTGCCCCTGTCTCACTTGGTATTCGAAGGTGCACAGTTGAAACGGGTCTGTACACTCTACTACGGTTATATACCTCTGTGTTACTGGTGTTGGATTCTTATATATTTCTTCCAAGTTTAAACTGTCTCGTCCTTTATTTTTATCAATAGTATATGTGTCTCTGTGTACAAATGCGTATGTATAGCCGTACTCTCAGGGGTCACCTGCGACGGGCAATGCTGTTCATAGTACTAACACCGGACGTCGACTATGTCAACGGATCGGTTTTTTGTTTAAGCGAAACCTTCTTCATCGCTGTTTAAAATAGTGTCTTCGACACTGAACTTTCAGCTTTTATATATGGTTTATGTTGAAACAACTATTAATCCTTCCTCTCTGTTTTTAATGTGGAAAAAATAGTATATCAAAGGAACACATGGAGGTCTGCTACCCGTCCGGTGGATGGCAATTGAAAGTATTGAGAATGACATCTACACCTCACAGTCTGATGTGTGGGCCTTTGCGGTGACGGTGTGGGAAATCTTCTCCAATGGCGCGGTGCCCTATGGATTCCTCCCCGAGGCCACTCAAGTCAGACAAGCCCTGAGGCACGGTGTCAAGCTACTGGTATGTGAATGGATATACGTTGATTATTAAAGTAATTACTTGCTTTCTACGCTAGTCTTGAGTCCTCTATACCCTTCTCAGTCAACGTGGCGCTGTTGTGCTATTTATAATATACTATTTATGTGCTTACGGGTACTACCGATACACCGATTATATATACATATATATATATATATAATTATATTATATATATATATATATATGTATATATATATAATATATATATATATATATATATGTGTGTGTGTGTGTGTGTGCGTGTGTGTGCGTGTGTGTGTTTGTGTGTGTGTGTGTGTGTGTGTCTGTTCAATGCATTTATGTATACTGATTTGCTTTTTAGCTGATTCAATAGATATGCTAGTCAGCCGGGAACATTTGAAGATAGTGCATGCTAGTCTGATGGGATCTGCTTTTTATATACTATTCTCGCACTAAGGGTTCTCGAAGTGCGCAGTTGTTACCAGCATAAATGTGTGATGTCATTAGTTTGTGCTGTATATCGGAACCCGATTTCGTATGTGTCCTAGAGTAGCCCGTCGCAATTCTCATTGAAGAGAATCACGATCGATATATTTTTGCATTCAGTCATGCAGATAAATCACATGAAGCAGTGCTCAAACTTAGCTCAACTCATATATCGTATATGAATAGGAAGAAGATGTTGCTGTTTAAGCCACTAGAATGAATACACAGTGATTCTCTATTCGATAGAAGACATCAGATGCCATAACAGTTGCGATGCTTTCAACTATTTCTCGCTGGTATTATATAAAGTGTGGAATCCGTTTCACCCTGGCACCCTCTTCTAATTGTGCCATTTATTTAATCTCATCCACTTCACAATGAAAGGCCTGTGCTGCCGGCATCATGCCGCATTGGGAGAAAATACTGAAACATGGGGGCACCACGGGCCTGGTGGCCACAGTAATGCCAACATTCACCAACCCTAACAACGTTGCCATAGCAACCATGACCGAACCCATCACAAATGGCATCTGCGGAAACTACTTCTTTGATGAAGAACAGCAGAAAGAGGTGATGATGAACGACCCTAAGTTTTTGCGGGTCGACACACTCTTCCGCCACCTGCAGCAGGTGTGTTCGCTATGCTTATCCACTATAGTTCGTTTACTGGTATAGCCGTTGAAATGAGTGTACGAAATGAACGATGGTCTTTGTGTGCGTTTGGAATGACTTCAAGTTTTTTTGGCTTGGTAAACACTTCAGTCACTAGCAGCTTTTCTGATCTGTATAGTACGCTTGTTCTCTAAATCATAGTCATGTATGTGTGCTGGACACTCTTTAAGTTGTTGCGTTGATATAATTTTGGTTCATTTGCTACCGGTGTGTTCTGTCAGCTCCTCAAGTGTAGTGAATATATTTGCTGCATAGTTAAGCAAGTACAAAGACCATAGCGACTTGTAGGAAGCTGTAGTGATCCTGCTTGCTAACCTATTGAGTTAAGATTGTAAATTGGGCGGCTTCCAAGTTATTTCGAGTCGATGTCACGTTCACGTATTTGCAACAGATGTGATTTTTGAGTTTCTCGAGCGTGATTGGCATAGTCTCGTGACCCCATAATAAACCGGGTGTGAAGGTTTAACGACGTTTTCTTCGTTCGAATCGGCATGCTCGTCAGTGGTCGCTGCGCTATGATTTGCATTCAGCCAAATCGTATTCGCATAGACGCTAGACATACGTAGTCGCTCTACTATAATTTGGTTATAGGTTGCACATCTTCTCCCTGGCTTACATACCTGTTTCTCTCATCGCATCTGCGCATTTATGAATTAATCATGATTTTCTATTCCCTTATATTGGTGTCAAAAAGGCAGGTGTCAACTTGGGCATCGTGACAGCCAAGGATAAGCTCCTGCGATTGCTTTCTCACGGCTTGGTAGACAAAGCCTCGAAATTTGCAGTGTCTGTGGAGAAGGTCACAGATGCCGACTCCGCCAAGACTCTAGCGGACGCCGGAGTGAATGTAGAACAGTTGCTTGCCGGTGTGTATGTTTTTTCGCTCAACAATGAAAATGTGGTTTGGATTGAGAGTCTGATGTGATGTAGCAAGGCATTGTTGTAATATACTTTTGGTGTGATAGGTCTTGTTACTGGAGACTTGCTGACTTGCAATCGGATCTAGGCTTGGCTTGTTTTATGAACCGCCCCTCGTGAGACTACGCGCCTTGCTCCACCCAGAATAATCGATACAAAAGGTGCTACTCTGCGTATTTTTTTCTTTCTAAATTTGAACATTCAATCAGCTCTGTAGCATATTTCGGATCGTCACAGTCTACTCACAGAACAGACTCCTGCATAAAGTCAGGCGCTGGCACTCTACAGATTCCCACAAATTACCCTTCCTTTTTCATCCTGACAAAGAACATGCGACTATCCCCACTTTCCACGATTCGAATGTCATTGTGTTTCCGCTGGAGATTGGCTTGAAGTCGACCAGCAATATAAGCCTGGGTCTCACAACATGTGTATCAATTGCCGATGCGGATACACACCTCGATTTGTCCAAATCGAGACCCATACAGTATTTATCTATTTATGATCCTGATATCATTAAAGTATCGCTTAGGACTTTTGCTTCCCTATGCTACGATATATGAATATGATGTAGTTGTTTTTATCCTAACTATTCCAAGTATACCATTTGATTCATACTAGGTCGGACTCTCCCCACAATCTACGACCCGGACATCAGTGTATTTACACTGGAGATCGGATTGGAATGGCTCAAGCAATTGAGAGTGAACGGTAGAGGTGAAGAACCGACTGCCTTGTATCTGTCGACAACAGACTTTGTGCAACACAAATACCGGCCAGGCTCCGAGGGAGCGAATGACTTCTATGCCAAAATTGACAAGGTGTGTACGTGGTTGAACAAGCAAAATCCTACTCCAGCTCGGCAGCGATCATATATGGTTTCTTCAATTCGCCGGTTGTGAATTCTCCGCAAACACTGGGCACTGGACCATTTAATGCTCACTGTTCTTCTCTGCATGTTTATTAGTATTTCGGGCAATTGCCAATGACACACTTACGAGTTTGTCAGCCACCCTCTAAACTCTTGGCTTTTCCTCGTCTATATGTCTCCGGATGATCCTCTTGCTTGCAGGTAATCGGTGAGCTCGACGCGTTTGGTGCAATAATTGGAGTCACCGCCGACCACGGAATGAACGACAAAGTAAGACATGACAACTCGCCGAATGTGGTATTTCTGGAGAGCGAGCTGACAAAGCATGGCATTGAGGCTCGCGTGATCCTTCCCATCACGGATCCTTATGTTGTGCACCATGGAGCACTGGGTTCGTTCGGGTGAGTAATTGGATTTGTATGAGTCAATTTAGAATTTGTTTCAGCCACAAACGTGGATGTAACTAGCTCAGTAGTTCACTCGAGATGATGATTATTGTCAATATTTAGATGCATTTCTTAAATATGTTCCCGATAATACCTTCGGCTTGAACAGGCTGCTTCACGTTCTGTGTGCAACCTCTAGCCCATTTGAGAGAGAAGTGCACATAAAGGTTTTAGAACATGTATGAACCGGGATGTTTCGAAATGCACTATGCTTTTAAACGTCACTAGCTAGGGCGAGCAGTCCACTCTGATGTAGAAAATTGTAAGAATGTATACCAAATTAACCGATACCTATCTATATATATATATATATGTATATATATATATATCTATCTATCTATCTATCTATCTATATATATATATATATATATACTATATATATATATTATTATANATATATATATATATATATATATATACTACTAT